ACTGAGCAAATTTGTCCCAGGTAAGCTTTAGAGACTTAGAGCTAGAAATATTCCTTGAAAATACTTGAAAAACTAGTTGGTCCAAAAATTATATTACAGTTTTGAAGAAATTTTAATGATCAGACTACTATCATTAATATATTTAAGTTTGTTGTAGAATATATTCGTATACTATCGGCTCACCGCAGCTACGCTCGATTTTGCTTTAAAAAAAAAACCAAACAATTGTATCCCTCGGACACCATACAGTTTTCCGGGATAAAAAGCCTATGTGTTATTCCAGACTATAATCTATCTCTGTGCCAAATTTTATCCAGATCCGTTCAGCCGTTCTGGCGTGAAAGAGCAACAAACATCCATACTCACAAACTTTCACATTTATAATATTAATACGGATTCACTAACCAATATCCATGCAACCCTATACATTTCTAACCTAATATAGGTGCTGGTTCTTTCCTTTCTAATATAGATGGCCTGTAAGAGATCACTAAGTGATAAGACCGCCCTTACACTGAAATATATGTTTATAATTTTTTTATTCTTTTTACATCTAATCTAAAATTTGTATGTGTGTCTGTATGTGTGTTTGTTACTTATTCATTCTAAAACGTCTGGACGGATTTAGCTAAAATATGTTTAATATTAAAAAAAACCTAATTGTATTGAAATGACAAATCGTTTATCATAATATGGTGTATGTACAACATCAACAAATACAAAACGATATTAGTGTGGTTATAAATACAAAAGCGCGAACAGAGACGCGCCCGTGCGAAGCTAAGTAGACCCCTCTACGAGCGAGGGTAACTCAATCAAAAAATCATAAAAAAAAAAACATTTTCAAAACAGACAAAGCCAAAGGCAGCACTAGTATCATAAACCGACACAAGTATTACAAAACAGCACGTACTCCATTCATTTCGTTGTAAGAAGCTTATAATAATAATAAAAATCATTTATCGATACAAATAAATCCCATCACTAGTGCGTCCGTCACGTCCACTCTATTGTGGAGTAATCGTATTATATTTTAGTACTTACGTCCGGTTTCAATGGCTTTTTGTCGTTACTTCGATGAAATTAATTATTTAAAATATTTTATTCTGACTTCACGTGAAAATTATTGAAAGGGTATAAAAATTTAACTAATATTGTATCTAAATGCGACTTTTTTCTGTATGTATGTGTGTTTGTTACGTCTTCACGTTATAACGGCTGGACGGATTTGGATGTAATTTAGTACACAGATAGTCTATGACCTGAGTGACACATAGGCTATTGTTAGACATAATATAAGGACGAATTCAAACGAAGCTAAGGTAAATCGCTAATAAATTATAGATGATGTAAAAAAAAATGGTTTATGAGAGAGTGTTGGAACACGCATGCACACATATATAACTAGTACGAATATATTAAATATATAAAGCAGTTGGCATTATAACTCTCGTCTCGTGTACATCATTTCATATCCCCGTAGTAAACGCTACAAGAGCATATGGCCAAAAGGTAAATTTATAATACTTAAAAAAAAAACATATCAAAATTTAGGTGTGTTCAGCCCTTTTTTTTTAATGTCCCACTGCTGGGCGTGAGCCTCCCTTCAATACGAGGGGGATCATTCCATAGTCCACCACGCTGGCCAAGTGCGGGCGGACTGAGCATGTCTTTCGAAAACTTGCTAGGTTCTCTCAGACATACAGGTTTCCTCACGATGTTTTCCTTCACCGTAAGACAAGTGGTAATCATGTTTTTAAAGATTCGCACATGAAAATATCAGAGTTTCGCAAACTCGGGATTGAACCCACTTTACTCAATATCCTAAGCGAGTGCGCTACCACTGGGCTATGACTGACTTTTTCTGTCTCTGGTATAATATAATTGACGAATATATCGCGTAACATAAAAAACACACACGTAATCAAATTAAATATCTTAAATACCTCCTAGTTTTCGCAGTGGGTTAAATATAAATAGTGATGGAGTGAAAGTCACCTAAGTCATTTCGATACGTGTAATGAGTTTCCAGATTAAATTAAAATATATTTTGGGAATATTTTTTTCCAAAATAATCGATTGTACGGTAAAAAAATTAAAAAAAAAAATCTAATCATGCCAGTTTTATCTTCCACGGCTTTTGTGGAATGTGACATAAGAAAACTAATACATTTATTAAACTTCGACTAAAACAATTTTATGAATATATATAATCTATGCATATAATAAAATTGTAACTAAGCCGAATCTCTACATTAAATATTTTTTGGAAAATCTTATTGTAATGGACATTATTATCGATATAGAGGCCGAATCTATAGTTTTTAGGATTTTTGTCTGTCTGTCTGTTACCGCATCATAGAAAAACCACTGGGGGGATTTTGATAAAATTTGGTATGATGATAGCTGGTTATACGGGTCAACATATAGGAAACTTTTTACCGCGGGAAAATATCTCATTTCTGAGAAAAAATACAAAAACTGCAATGTAAGATTATACTAATATGTAAAACCTAAGAATTTGGGTTTTGGTCATCTGAACGCGGGCGGAGCCGCGGGCAATGCTAGCATTCACTAAATTCAGACTAAGGAATAATAATTACGACAACGTCATAGAACTAAACATGAAGCCAAACATTAATGTTTTATAATAGTATACAAATATTAATAGAATACTCATAACTGTGATAAGTAAATAAATGTTAATAAATAAAAGAATTATGGGGTTTTATTATAATAAAGAAAAATGTAAATAAGCTGTTTCTTCTTGAAATTCAAAATATTATAGATGATGAAGAAAAGATTTTAATTAATTATACTTTTTTCTCAAAAATTGTAAATTAACGACAAATATCTATAAATATCCCGTATTCTTTAAAAAAGTAAACGATCCGTATGGGAAAATCAAGAATAGCAGCCAACAGCAAATCACGCTACTATTTTTGACATTGTCATTTCTTTAGGAAGGCTATTCTATATCATTATAAGTCCGAGTTACTAAACTATATATAACATATTATATATTTATGTATGTATATGTATGTATGAAGTCTTTGTAGAACTGAGTAATAAAATTTAAAATTGAGGTAAAAAATAAAAAAGTTAGGTAAAAATTACCTTAAAATCTAAATAAACGTCTAGCTTACCCTATTTTATTTACAAAACACATAAAGCTGTTACCCTAGAGGGTTTAGCACAACCTTGCACCAAAGAAAGAACTTAGGGGTCCTAAAGGATGGATGTTAGAAGAAACTGATTGGCTTGTTTTGTGAATAAAATAATCTAAAAAATATATTCAATATGATTAAAGTTAATTTCAATGCAAATATTTTCTATGATATACAGTGAATATTTGAAATTTTAAGTAGTTTTTTTTTAATTTTCCGCGAATTTATTTTGTTTTTATTTTGTGCTGTTATTTAAAAAAAAACCATTCGTTTTTCCCCCATTCCCATTTCCATTTGTCTTTTCTTTCCAATTTTTGTATAATTTTCTGTCTTTTGAGTGAGTCTTTTGAAACGTAAAAACGTCTCTCCCGTGACCACGTTTGCTGTCAAGTATACGTAAAGTCAGGAACAAAAAATAGTTATTTTTAAGGTTTTTGCTCCACTTAGAGGTTACTATTTATTATTAATTATAATAAAATATGCTATGTATATCTATTTATGAATATATAATTTTAATTTCAATAAAATATGCTCTTTAATGTGGAGTGGACACTTAAAAATTCTTTACTGTTGCAAAATATTTGTACTTGGTTCTTAGATAAGATCATACAATACAATCGTTAGAAAACACAAATTAAAAATATATATTTAGATAGACAAATTTATTATTTCACATATATTTTTTCAGAATAAGCCCCCTTTTTTTTTAGAAAAATCAAGATATATATTTCCCAACACCTTACTTTTTAGTCAGCACTCCACCTTTATTCTAACACTTTATAATATGTTAAAACAAGTTATTGGTATATATTATTTTAGATAAAAAATTAATTGGCCTAAAAGTTATAATTGCCTGTCATATACACGATATCATAAAAAAGATAAGCATCTCTACTTGAATTTCTTAGAATTGAATTTTGTAGAGCTTGTAATATTTAAATATATGCAAAATCTATAAAAACATATTAATTAAGGGACTTAGAAAATTTTATTCACAAAACTTTGTACGATTTTGATTCTGTTTCCATTAAGGGATCGATGGAAAATTAATAACAGTGAAAATGGTACATTAAAATAGAACCCGCACTAAGCGAGGGTAACAGCGAAGCGGGTATCGGATGAGTCAAGCACCGGGTACCTACAGATAGATTTAATTCGAGTATCAAATCAACGCCTATTTTTGAAACAAGTTAAAAAAGTATGATTTTATTAAAAATATATTTTAACATAAAAAAATATGAAGGATTAATACTTTCTTTTTTAATTTGATACAAGAATCCAACCGCTTAATACTGAAGATTGTTATTTTACTGGTATCACTAAAGTTTTTTTTTTATTAATTTTGTGTCTTATTGACAATAGTTTATCTAGCAGAATTATGATAAGTTTTGCTTTGTGAGAAATTAAAAAAAAGTTATAGAAAACAGAAAAAACATCTCAATGTTATTAATTAATTTAAGTAATAAAACATGTATTTAAAAACAAACGAAATTAACCATCAAAACTTTTTTCTAAATTATGATACCTAAGATACCAAAATAAAACACCAATCAACAGTATAAAATGGGGGTTAAGGGCACCACACCATGGCTGGGAGACCCCATACCACTACTCACAAACGTTGGAGATGCCTCAATCTGACAAAAATGCCATCAGGCAAGTGTCCCAGTCGATTATTGCTCAGTTTCCTGAAATTTAAACACACAAAATAAACTACACTACAAAGTTACCCCATACGAAACTTGCGAATAAAGCGCTATGATTCGTCGAATTTGAATTTGGAACTGATATTTTAGACGATGGTATAACTTTGTAAGGGTAACTTTTACTTACAAACGTTCGAGTGAATTCAGCTCTAAGAAGGCGTCTCTCTCGATCGTGTGGATCTGGTTTTCGGATAATTGTCTGAAAAGATATTTGGAGTTAGTTTTTTAGAAGATATAATAGTTAGTTTTATTAGTTAAATCTATATGTTTTAAATTGTCTATATCTTGAAGATTTTATCTCAAGCTCTTTTTTATCTTTATAGAGTACGAAGCTCTTAAAAACAAATAAAAATATATTTGTGACGTAGTACATATACGCAGTACAGTGTAGTTGTGCACTCGAGAGTCACAGGTTTGATTCTCACACAAGTGAAAAATTTATATCAATCATACGAAACATTATTTAAAAAAATACAAATAATATATATGTATGTAAGTAATATGAAATACTTACAAAATTTTCAATTCCTTCAAATTCTGGAAGTCGCTCTGAAATATTATACTGATGTTGTTGCCTTGAAGGTCTCTGCAACAAAAAAAAAGTAAATACATATATTATGAATATCGCTTACGAAACAAAACCTCATGCATTCAATATGGAGGCTGAGACAAGATGTCATCCTACAATGGTTGAATATAAAAATTGTATTGAAAGGACAAAGCAAGTATTGTACGACGGTTTATACAAAAGGTTTGGCATTACTTTATTTCTTTTGTTGCCAGTAATGAAAGTTAGGTTATAATTAGAAGTATATTATAGAAGACCAAGGAACCAAATCGTTAAACTCGATTGTTGTGTTATCTGTATAGTGGACGTATACGTGGTATGTGATACTGCCTCGATGGTCTAGTATGTACAACTGCAGGTCCGGGGGTCTTGGGTTCGAATACCGGGTCGAGCCAAGTATTTATTGTTTTATTCTATTAAAGAATTCTCAGTAACCCGAAGTTGGGGAGTTGGCGGTGTTTCACTCCCGTGCCTCGGTGACTACTTGTCGATCCTGATACTTAAATCTGACCAATTTCTCAAACTTTGTGTGTATGTATGAATATGTATGTTTGTTACGCCTTGACGCTGAAAGGGCTAGACGGATTTGGATGAAGTTTAATACCTACACAGATAGACCTGATCTGGAGTGGCACATAGGCACCTATGACGTATAGGACGTATCTAAGCGAAGTAAGGGTAAATCACTAGTAAATTCTAAGATTAATCATTTTAGTAATAACATATTTTATTAATAATTTAAAAATTAATTTTATGCTTTATTACATGCATTCCTGAGACTACCGATTGCGATAAAACTTTTACACTTATAGTCCTGCGAATCTTTTGATATACTACTTGCTACCAACGTGCAAGTACTACAGATTTTTTTTTTAATTAATTTGAATACAATAGTGTATTTACAACAGGAACTGTTAATTTTCTCGTTGGCTCTTCTTAGAACTGTCCAGACCGAGTCGGCGGCTACTTGAAGGGATGCAGGATTGATATCTTTATTAGACTACTCGGACTGCTATTACCTACATATATAAGTGTCTCGGTGGTCTAGTGGCTAGCATGTACTGCTGCAAATCCGGAAGTCCTGAGTTCGAGGTCCGCGTGGGGCCAGAATAGTTATAGAGTCTTTCTATTAAGAAAATCACAGTTACACCCAGGAGTTGTAGAGTTGGCGGTGTTACACCCCCGTGCCTCAGTGAGCACGTATCGCATCGGTCTTGTCTTGCGCCTTGGTCGTGTCTTGTATCGTCCCACCGGAGGATGAGAGTAATATAATATCTCCTGCGCAGTCTCAGTGAGATTGGCTACCATGACCGAAATCGGGAGGACATTTTTTTATTATTTACTAGCGACTCACCCTCGCATCTGGGATGATTTCCGGGATCAAAAGTACCCTATGCCATTCCCAGGGTCTCAAACTATCTTCTTACCAAATTTCATCTAAATCGGTTTAGTAGATCCAGAGATTACCCTACAATGTCACAAACTCACAAACCTCTTATAATACCTCTACCTCTTTATAATATTAGTTTAGATTATTATTATTGCCTACCGAATACTTGTATGTATGTGTACATATTACCGTTTGTTGTATCTGAACTAAACGTTTTAAATAAAATTATGATTTCAGTTTTTTCGCGGATTTATTTTGATATTTCGTTCCCAACGTTACGAATGCTTTACAGCAATCATGGTCACGGTGAGATACTTCAGTATCTCTCGAAAAAAAGTTAATTTTATTTAAAGTGTCAAATATTCGCGTAAATATAAGAAAGTGTAAAAGAAAATGTGATGCTGGAATATAAGAAGTACTGACAACACGTTTGGCTCACTTTGTAGTGACCCTACCTGCTGTGCCAGCGGTCGCGGGTTCAAGTCCCGCTGGGGGCATTCATTTGTGTGACGAGCACGAATGTCTGTACTCCAGTCATGGGTGTTTATATTTATTATATGCATATATTTAAAGTTATATATGGGTAATGTGTCTATATATACCATCTGATATCCATAACACAAGCCTCATAGCTTACCATGGAACTAGATGGTGCTGTGTGTTAATGTTCCAACATATTTATTTATTTATGAAATGAAATTTATTTATTTAGTATCAAATTCCTATAAGTATACAGTAAACAACAATGGCTACGATGATACTGTAAAAGTATAAACTGCGTTGCAGATATCAACGCCCGCCTCCGTACAATATTTCAACTATTATATAAAAACTAAACAACAATAAGAAGATGATGATGTATGTGTATGTGTGTGTGACTGTGAGTGTGTGTGTGTGTGTATGTGTGTGTATATGTGTGTGTGAATGCAAAAATATTTTATATTTAAGAAGCTAGTATTATATTTCAAGATGTAGAAGCTAACAGTTTTAGATCAAACCTGTAATGCTCAATGAATGTAGATCATATAAGTGCTCTTGAGATAACTGTTGGTCATTTTGTTAGGCAATTACTGATGTACGGAAGAAAGGCATTGTACGCATTAGACATGTACTTGTGTCATCATTTAAACCTCGTCGATCAGTAGAATTTCCCACTGACCTCATCTTCTACGATATAAGTCTCAAATTCGATTCTTGCACGATGTTTAAGACCCCCTTTTTTAGAGTTGAGTCTTTTTATGTATATTTGCTTATTTAATTACAATTTGAGAGTTTGAGCTTGAGATTCTGAGAAGCTTTAGTGTCATCAATAAAAAAAACGTGTGTGTGTACTTATGTACGCACGTAAGAAGTTATACTTCTTTGGCGTAACAGAACAAAAATAGCTAAAGATTTCATCCCGTATGTCACAACTCTCTGTAAAAAGAAATGATAAATTAATATAAATAAATTTTTATGAATATTTGAGAAATTACTTTGAATATAGTTATGAGTTTTCACGAGAGCCGGAGAGACAGTTATCAGCTATACTTCATCATGTCGCTTTTTGGCTGTCAGTGTGTGTTGATGTGGTGTTAGAAACAGTTAGTGTTTTATATAGATTACCTATCTGTATAAAAAACTAACTGTTTCTTAATTTTATTCATGTATGTTTTCCTCAAATTTTCAATAATGGTCGAATATTTTATTTTACTTAATAATATTTTTTATTTTTTTAAAAATAAAATTTTAAAAAAATATTAAATAATAAATTTAAATAAAAAATTATAAAAATTACAACTACTTATTAAAAGCTAAAATATCATTTTAAATTTGTTGTATAATTATATCTTTACACAACATCGAAATAAATACTTAAACAAACTTAACCAAAAAGTGAATTAAAAAAAATAATGAAAGAAAAAAAAGAGAAGAAACAGAGAGAAAGCATATATTATCGAAAAAAGGTAAAAGATAAAAAATTAATAATTAATATTAAAATAATAGTTAATTTAATATTAACCACTGGCGACATTAATTTAATAAATTAATTAATTAATAAAGGCGTGTAAAAAGAATTAATTAAAATATTTATTAAAATTTCACTTGATCGATTTTAACTTACCACCGTATGTATGTATGCAAACGACCACACATCTAGTGTTAATAGCTTAAGTACGCGTTTATCATTTGTTTTCGCCATATAAGGCCAGCGTCGTGACTACAACCAACGCTGACTGGTTTGTAGGTAGACAAAAATTTGTTTGTTTGGTTGTGTTGTGGAATGACCACCCACAGGTTAAACTTTGGAATATGAGGTTAGACGACATTGATATACAAAAACTGAAGATACTGAAAAGTGTCCTCAAAAGAAAAGCACAATTTGAAACTGAGTTGCGCTTTTTACAAATCTCTTTTGTTTTTTGCTCTTCGGATGACAAGTTGACGACTAAAGTCTGATTTTTAATTCCACGGAAATATGACAGCTGTCATTCTTTGACAGTTCAGATATCATAAACCTTTTCTGCTTTGTATAACAAAAAATATGAAACAGAAATAGATCAAGTAAACTATATGTATGATATTGTAAATAGTCTTTATTTTGTGCAATCAATGCACGCCAACTATAATGTAAATTTTTAATGGTCAAATGAATAAAACAGAGTAAAACAAAATATTTCACAAAAAAAGGGGTTTTACTAAAAAAGGCTTGCAACCTATAGATTATTGGACAGGGATTCCTGTCATAGAAAAATAATTTCCTTAATAATTATTGTAACTGCAATAATATGATAATAAAAAAAATACCATTTTAGAGTTATCAATAATTTTTTGTCTTAGTTTTTCTAATTGAAACCTTAACTTCAAGAAAGGTTTATTTTTTTATTTCGCTAAAATGCTTTCCGTTTTTAGTAACAACGTTTCAAAGTTGACAACACTTCTGAAATGTCAGAATTCCGTCGAATTAAAAATCATACTATAATACATATGGTTTCGTTTAAAAAAAGTACTTTATGTGGTGTGCGTAAGTTCGAATTTGTGTTTAGATGATTATAACTTTCGATTTTTTAATTTTTAACCGACTTCCCAAAGAAAGGAGGAGGTTCTCAATTCGTCGGAATCTTTTTTTTTATGTATGTTCACCGATTACTCGAAGACGCCTGAACGGATTTGGAATTTTTTTTTGTTTCAAAGGGTATACTTCCCAGGTGGTCCCATATAAATTTTATCGAAATCGGTCGAGCGGTTTTTAAAAAAATCAACAATAAATATATTTTTTAAATCAATTGTTTAATCGAATATGTTATTAAAAAACTTTCCTCTTACAAATTAGTTGCTTATAACGTCTACGCTAAAAATGGAAAAAAAAACTTAAAAAAATAATTGAAACCGACTTCCAGACACAAAAATGTAAAAAATAACTAAACGGAGGTTTTCATTTAGAATAGATACCTAAACAGATATTTTCGAAGAAGGTGCCCGCCTACAATATATTAAGATATGAATATTTAATAGGTAAATATGTATTTTACGTTTCGAAATATATTAGATTTGCTTTGCATCGGCTGGCACCGAGTCGGCTAGTCGGCAAAAGTCATAGTCGGTACATCTCTACCAAAAATCAAAATAAATCCAAAAATATCTGATT